TATTAAAAATATAATATTAAAAATAAAGTCAAAACTAGCCGATGGAGTCTAAACGAAAGTTGTAGATCGTAGTCTCACCTTCGCGTGGATATAAAGAACGTCGAAAACGGAGTTCGTATGAGAAAGATATGAATTTTTGAAGTTTGTTAATTAATTTAAATATAAATTAAATTAAATCCCGGTATTATCCGAATGAGGAGTCACCGGTCCGACCCCTCGTACGCCCAGTGTACTCGGATGCTAGGCTCCGGTTCGTCCACGTCGCTCCAATGTTTCGACCGAGGATGCGCTCATGCATGACGCATGAGTACGCAGCGCATACTCTAAGTACGCCCCGCGTATCGCAACCCCCTCAGACCCCTATAAATAGCATGCGAGGGTGCCGGCCAAAATTGCTAATTTCCTTCCTTTCTCGCGTCGAAGCTCTGCGTTTCAACCCTCGGAATCATCCCAAAGGCCCGGTTTTCATATCCAAGGTGGGAAGAAAGTTTTACACTCCCGAGACTCCCGAGATTTCCCGAGAATCTCGAGAGATCCGCTTTCCCGAAACGAAACTCTGCCCGGTTTTCCATCTTGCTATCTTCAAGCTTTCAAGTGAGTTCATACCCCTTTCTAACACACTTTAAATACATTTTTAAATACTTTTATACTCTTTTAGGGGGGGAATACAAGTAAACATACGGTTATTATCGTGTATTTTATAAAGTTTCACTTCACTTATATTATCAAATAAACCACTTGGAACTCATTACTATTATGGAAAACTCTTGTCATACTTTGTGTGCATTAGACTTATACGAAGCATATAATGACCTTTCATTGTTAAATCGTTTTATACATTCTAAAAACTTATGATTTTGCTTTGTCAAACATTTTGAAAAAGGATAAACCTTGCATACAAAACTATCACTTTAATATAAACTTAATTGAGAATCCATGAGACGCGTACATCTTCAAACGTTACTTTTCTTTATTAGAAAGTAATGCATCAGGTCCTATCTATAACCAGAATCTCCCGCGATGAGAACGTGTCAAATGTGTATAGATCTATACGGGAAGTCATGATCACGCACCCTGACTGTTAGCTACAGTCCGTCTTTTGGGGTGACAGTTGTCATAAACTGCGACGCCTGAAGAACGTCGCTACAGGCATATTATGTTTAGTATGGTTATAAAACTCATCGGATATACAATTATTATGATATTAAGTTTTGATGAACGAGTAGCTATTGAAACTATTCTTCATCCAACCAGTTCGATCTTCGCGTAGTTTTATTATATATAAAACTATGACACAACTTACGAGAAACGTCGGTTTCTTGCAATTTTCGGTCTTAGAGACTGCCATTTGTGTGAGGAAAATAAGGGTTTTTCCTGCATACAAATCGAACAACTAATAGGAAAATAACGGATTTTCCCGGTGCAATCATTTACAACTTATAACATGAATATTTATATGCATTTCATACATTTATGTTAGGAAAATAAGGGTTTTCTTGGAAAACACAACAACTTGTATCTCAACCATTAGGGAAAATATGGGATTTTCTGGATCTAATGCATTTACTTTCAACACAACAAATCACCACTCTTTACATTTGAAATGCTTCGTTTTCTGGAAAACATACACCTATAGATTTGGAATGGCATCAAATTTTTCTAAACTACTTATGCACTCACCAACTTAATTGTTGACACTTTTTCTTGAAATAACTTGTATTCTCAGGGAATCGCTAAGCAGGTTGGGAATCAACATTTGGGATTAACGCGCTGGCGTTAACTACTTCTTTTAAATGATGTTTATGTATTTATCTTTTGAATATGTAATGATTACAACTATGTAAACATCTTGCAAACTTACTATATATGGTGGTGTGTACTTTCCTTTCTATGAATTGTTATGATACTGAATATGACGTCCTCCGCCCCCGAACGTTTCCGCCGTTCTGGTTTGTGGGTGTGACAGATTGGTATCAGAGCATTGTTTATAGGGAATTAAGTATATCAAAACCATTTCTTTTTGGTATACAACTATAAACTCAACTGGGCAAAAACACTCTGAGTAAGAGTCATACTTTTAAAAATTAAATTTTATTTAGTTTTTGTAAAGTAGGCATGCATTCATTTCATATCAATAACATGGTCAGTATCATAATTAAAACAACATTGAAGTATTATATATAAGTTGTGCAGTGCAGGTATGCCTTGGGACATGTAATCAGAACTGGGAAGGATATAGCCTGATCAACTATATTTGTCCAAGAGCCGACTAAACATATGCCAAGGAGTGTCTGTAATGGACAACAAATTTTAAAACTTACCAAAAGCATATCATTAAAGAATACTAAGGGAGTATTCGAGTGCCTTCAACCATTAAACTTAAGAGTAAATTCCATGTGCTTTAGCTTATAGTCCATTCTTAACCCTATTCTCGTATAGACTCAAATGGCTGGATTCCATCACCACGGTGACCCCTACTACCCCAACCATGGTAATGGAGAAGGGATAGAGAATGATCCTAAAGAAGGAATGCAAGAAGAATCAGACTCAGATCCAGAGAACAATAACCTACCCTTAACGGCTCCAATTCAAAATCCTAATCCTCGACCGAAATTTCATGGCTCGACGCCCCTTTGGGGAAACTAACCTGAACAGGTGGAGCCGCGAACAGGATCAACCCCTTCCATTCAACGGAGACTGAAGCTTCTACAACCTAAGCGAGGGAGGCTCAGCAGACAGAGCCCTTCCTATATTGGTTCGTCAGATTTCCCGCATTGATGAACAAGGACGGACGACCATCCATCGAACTGAGAAAAATGATGCGAACACTGGAGTCAACACAGTTCGCATCCGACAGTTAGGATTAGCTCACGAGAGAATCGTAAATCGAAATGAAGTGTTGCAGAGAGAGCTAGCGGCAACTCAAACCGAAGTGATAGAACTTCGGGCACGCCAGGCAAGACATGGACAACGTATGCCCGAGATGGAGCGTCAGTTGGCATAATCTAAGACCCATGTAGCCAGCTCACGTAACAAATAATACTTGTCTGACTTTAAAAATTTTGTCATAGCATAAGACCTCGGATAAAGTCCTTGCTTTTCTTAACCTCGTAATCGGAGACCTTTAGATAGGTCAAATTTTCCTAACTGCAAAATGTAATGCACCATTTATGCATACAATAACACCATGATTTTTTCAATTATATTTAATTCAATAATGTATATTAATCACTTTCTTAAAATAAGTAAATTTGATTGACCCACATTTATGCATACAATAACACCATAATTACTTTAAACAAAATAACCTAAGCCTATATATATATATATATATATATATATATATATATATATATATATATATATAGACACACACACTAGCCGTTTACCCACGCCAAGCGACGGTTGCGAATAGTTTTTTTTTTTTTTTTTTTTTTTTTTTTGAAATTAGTTTCTAGAGACAATTAGTTCAATTGCGCAAATAGTTGGGTGTTTTACGTATTGATAATGTAGAGATCTTCAAAACATGTAGGGTTGGTAATATGCGATAAAAGTAGGTGAAAATATTATCACTCCCTCTTAAGTGGATTAGAAGAAACCAAACGACCTCACATTAATTAGTTTCAATTAAAAATAAATGTACATTGTTTTTTATATAAAAGGACTAATATCAATAAAGTCCCATGTTTTTGGCACTAAATTGGAAAAATTCCTTAATTTAATTTTTCATTTAATATGACCACGATATTTTCATGGAATTATGGCAAAAGGGCACAATGCCGGTTCACCGGTTTCAGCAGGTTGCATAGCTTAGTCGAAGGTTGGAGGTAGTTGTTAGCTAGGTTTTGGGTCGATTCTTCTCTCCAACGTCAAACCAAAAAGATGGTAAGCTCCTTCAAAATGCACACACAAGGGTACCGAGAATGGGCCTTAAGGAATCGTTGGTCTGAAGATTTGAGATGCAAATGTGATGAACCTGCGAGATTCTCGATATCCAAAATTGTCGATAATCCATGGAGGACATTCAGGGGGTATCCAAACTATCAGGTAATATTAAGTTTCCTACCTTTTATGGTGTTGTTGTTCCAGTATGAAGAAGTGGTTGTTCTGCAGGACTCCAAAAAAAATGCAAATTTTTTTTATGGCATGACCCACCCCTGCTAAACACTTACTACAAGGAAACTATGTGGAAGTTCCATATGGATTTGGAGGAGGCTAAGAACAATAAAGCATTTGGAATGGAGATTTTGAAGCTTTCGGAGGAGGCCAAGTACAACAAAGCAATTTAAGTAGATATTTTAAACCTGTTGAAGGTGGAGCTAGTTCTGATGGTCATGCTTTTGGAATGGTAGTAGTAGTAGTTTAGGTGTAAAGGTATTTTGGTCAAGTTAGGCAGTGAGTAGATGCATGTGTTTAGTATGGTAATATTTTGGTTTTGTAAGAGATAACAATGACAACAACTTATTATGTCTTAATGATAACAATGTATTAAGTCCTATAACACATACATATGTATAAAAATAACCAAATAATGGAAAGTAACAACCATTACAATTAAGTCCTTTAACACATACATATGTCGTTTATAGTGATCAAGGTATATATATTGATAACTTAACAAGCATAACATCTCATTTACAAAGCTTCCCAAACATCAATGTTAGTTAACAGCCCAAAAAGGGGAATGTACTTTACACAGCTTCCCACAAACCACTACCAAACCATGTAACCTAATTAGAACCAAACTTCCAATTCTACCAAACATTATGGATATGAATTAGAAGCTTGTTACGAAAAGACAAGTGTACCAAAATTAGAAGTTTACAAAAATGGCAACCTAATTACTAATGCCCATTCTTAATCTAAAACCCAAGGAGTTTTGGAAGAACCACCACCATTAACATCTTCAACCATTTTCCTGAGCTTCAGTTTCCTAAATCTTTTAGAGGGTTTCATCTTTTTCTCCCAATGGAAATTGTAAGAACCATGACCCAAGGGTATCACTCTTGCTCCAACCTCTCTCTCTTCCACTCCTTCTTCCTCAACCACTTCGCCTTCAACTTCTTCTTCCTCAACCTCTCTGCCTTGAACTTCTTCTTCTTCGACCTCTCTCTCTTCAACTTCTTCTGCCTCAGTCTCTCTTTCTTCAATCTCTTGTTCCTTAACCTCTCTCTCTCTTCAACTTCTTCTTCCCCAGCCTCTCTGCCTTCAATCTCTTGTTCCTCAACCTCTTTCTCTTCAACTTCTTCTTCCTCATCCTCTCTTTCTTCAATCTTTTTTTCCTTAACTTCTCCATAAACCTACAATATGGCAGGCTAGTTAGTAAAGCTACAATATGAAAGCCAAAAATAGTGTAACAATACATACCTCTTTCATAGCAGCCACTACATCAGCATGTGTATATCCTGACAACAACAACTCCTTTAAAGTATGTCTTGCATTCACCTTCACCTCATTGTCATTCTCTTGTTCCTGAACATCCTCTTTTGCTTAACTCATAGGCTGCTTACTATTAGGTGTATGGGTAAACAGATCATCAAAATCCTCATCACAGGTTAGGGACACATTCTCCTTTGCTTGACTCTTATGTTTCTTACAATTATGTTTTCTTTGGTGTTTTGTTACTTGATCCATACACTTTAGTTTTCCCTCCTCTCATTGCCATCATCTTAGTCCTTTTCATATGACTAACAGCAGGACCACCTACTTGATTACCAGATTCTGAAACTGGGGGAGGAGCAGCATCCCTTCTTGGTATAGGAGGCCCAACTACAGGGAATTAGTCAAAGATAGGTTGGCCTCCCCCATATTTCATAGGTCTTCTAATCTTCCTTTTTGGGACTGGAGGCTCAGGTACGTCATCATTTTTGCATGAAATCTTACTATTCCCAAGTTGTTAGCACTTTCCACACCTTATAGTCCTAGGAACCTTTAACCTTTTTGAGGGTATTTGGCATCTTGTGATTCAAATGCATGCTTCACTCTCTTTACTTTGGGTGTAAGTCCAGGGGGTAATGGTTTAATAAACTCAGTCATTCGCCAGCAGTGTTGGATAAGGTTTGTAAGTCCATAAATATATTTGGTATGTACTTAACCCAATTTGGCTTGGTCCATTTGGGTTGCATGGCATCAGTACAATTTGGATAGACTTTTGTGAGAAGAGGATATTTACGGTTTATTAATATATTATAAGTTCTAATATAATACATGAATTATTTAATTAGTATTGATCAAGAATTAGTTTGGAATTAATTTTGTGATCAAAAGAGACTAATTAAATAAATGGGGATTGATTCGGCAAATCATTCATTCTTATATAGTGGCTTACGATCCATAGTTCTTCATGTTGGGATAAACCCATGTGGTTACCCATCGATACTCCATGGAGGTTAAAACCCATGGATCATGAGGAATGTGGAAAGGAATGAGTTACATGGTGTAACCCTAATGTGCACACTATATAATGAAGCCTAATGCTAGCAAAATCGACATTTAAGAGATACAAGTGAGGGCCAGCCGATTTGGTGCATAATAATCTTATCTCAAGTTATTCGAATTGTTGGTGGTGTTGTGTGAAACATTTGAGGCATCACATTTGGGGGTGCTAGGCTCACAAAGTCTTAATGAATCCAAGCTACAAGAAAGGTATGTCATTCTACTAGTTTTTGTATTACATATACCCCATCATATGCTAGTTAGGATGAAACCTTGAAAAAATGAAGTTTTCATGTCTAATATAGAAAACATAGATCCAAGGTTTCTAGGGTTGCATACACACCATATGAGTGTTAGAATGCTCAAAACCCAACAATGGTATCAGAGCCTAGACTTGTTTTCAATTATACTTGATGCTACTTGCTGAAAAAATCAATTTTCTGCTCATTGTTCAGTGAACTCGTCGAGTTCATTGGGCAGACTCGACGAGTCCATGTGAAAATTCATCCAAATCGTCGAGTTGGTTCATGCACTCGACGAGTAAGAGGCCCTGAGTTCAGAATTTCGAGTTTTAATGCTGGAATTGGACTAGGATCATTACCCTAAACTGTTTTTAGATAGTTAAACCTGTTTTTGATGTGGTAATGATTATGTTTATCCAATTTCAAAGATAATTGTCAAATTTTCAAGTTTTATATTAAGTTCATATGATTCTTGAAAATTGTTGATATGAATTATGCATGCTTATGAGTTTTGTTAGATCATAGAAATTATTTGACATGCTTGTTAGTTTAATTGTTGATCTAAATCCATTTTAGTTGACTCCATAACTTGTAATCAAGTTATGGAATTCCAAGATTCTTTTCATTAAAATCATTAAAACTCATAAGTTATAGAAATGAAAGGTTTTTAATAGTTTCAAAACTTACCCTCAAGTTTTGGAATTTGTAAAGTCACTTTAGAAAACTTTAATTCAAAACCCTAGAAGTTTAAAAGTTTAAAATTCAACCCTTATACTTTATAATATTATAAGTTAATAATGTATATATGTATACGATCAAGTCAGTCTTACCGTTAGTAGGTCTCATTCACAAAGTCGGTCTATAAGGGGGTATAAAGTTGTTGCCTATAAAATGGCAACTTAATGGGTGTCCACTCTCACCCACCGCTTCCATGACTAGTGGAGGGTCGTTAGCCGAACAGGTAGGACAACGACTATAATTCTCATTAAAAGTATAATGATAAATATAAAGTAACTAAACCTTTTATAAATTCTCAATCTTAGTTATTTTAGGAAAATGTGAAATTAATGCTAACCCATGAAATTACACATTGCACCTTGCTAAGTCGTTAATGGAGAGTGTGTGGTTAACCGGCACACTAACTTAAACTAAACAAGGGTGGAAAAGGGTGGCTTAAGGTTTATCATTGATCGGTGGAGCGTGTGTGGTTAACCGGCACATCGATTAGGTGATAAAATTAAGAGTACCAAGTTAATTTTGCATGGTTATTCACACCTTGTTTGTGATCCTCGGTATCCCAGTCACAAACTTGAAGGGCATAATCGAGATTTAAACATGCCATTGAATTGTTCAATGAATCTCAAAAGATCTAGGAGTTTCAATCCAATTAAAACTTAATAATCTAATAGTTTTTTATAGTGGATATTGGTAAATCGTCATTTACCTAACTTCCAATATTTTGTAGCTTGGATTACGGCATCCCTCTTCCAATTTATAAAATTTTGTGTTGGGTCCTAGCCTTAATATTTCATTCGGGTGTCTTATTAACAATTCTATATCTAGTCTAAACTTGGCTTTCTTCCTTTTCAGATGTCTTCCAACAATCTTGCTTCTGGCTCAAACCCAACTGGCTCCATCTCTCTCATGAACCTTTGTGGGAGAGTCATCTTTGATGGAACTAATTTCAATGATTGGATTAGGAACATAAGGATGGTCACTCATTATAAAGACAAGGAATATGTCCTCAAGAAGGAGCTTAAGGTCATCGCTGATTCGTCTACTACACCCAAGGAGTTTGCTGAGTACACTAGCCATAAGAAGGATGCCACTAAGGTATCTTGTATCATGTTGGCTACCATGACACCAGAACTCCAGAAATCCTATGAAGATTTCTACCCTTATGAGATGCACCAGGACCTGATGGAAAGATACCATCAGAGTGCTCGTCAGGAAAGGTATGAAATCATCACCTCCATCATAACAACGAAAATGAAGGATTGAGAGTCTATCACGGTCCACCTGCAGAAAATGCAAAGATTCGTGGACCGTTTGCTAAAGTTAAATGTGAACTTTGATGAGGAGTTAGCAACTGATATCATTCTACACTCCTACCCTCCTGTTATGATCAGTTTCGCATGACCTATCATATGAACAAGGAGGAGGTCTCACTTAGCAAACTTTAAGGAATTTTAAGGACTATTGAAAGTAGTCTTAAAGGTAAGAATGTTGTTACCACTCCTACTACCGCCCATGTTTTGGCAATCGGGTAAGGTAAACGAAAAAAGAGGAAGTCTCCTTCGAAGGGTGCGAACGGAAAGTCTCTTGATGGCTCCTCTTCGAGTGGAACCAAAGGTGGTTCTACCATTCCCTCTTCCAACGCGAAGGATGCACAATGCTTCTACTATCAGGAAAAAGGGCACTGGAAGCGAAGCTGCACCAAGTACTTGCAGGATGTTAAGGATGGGAAATTAAAACCCACATATGCAGGCATTTACATTATATTGTCTAATAACTCACCACATACTAATTCTTGGGTCCTTGATACAGGGTGTGGAATTCACATTTGTTCTGATTTGCGGGGCCTAAAAAGAAGTGAGGATGTGGAGCACAGGAAGATAAACTTGATCATGGGGAATAGGAAAGCTTCACCTGTCACCAAGATTGGAGTTTATTAATTATTGCTTAGCAATGGGTTAATATTAGATTTGAATAAATGTTTTTACTCGTCTGAAATGGTGAGAAATATTATTTCTTTTCATGGTTTGTACAAACAAAGATTTACTTTTTCATTTGATAATAAATGTGCTGGTATTAATGCTTTTTATAATGGTTTTTTTTAGCATTACCTTGTGATGGTGTATATGAAATTGTGTCGGTTGTAGACAACTTAGGAAATAATGTATTGCATATTGATTCCTCCACTAGTTTGGATAATGCATCCTTGTGGCATTGTCATCTTGGACATGTCAACAAGAAGCATATAGGCTAACTCCAAAAGGCTGGAGTTTTGGAGTCATTTGACTTAAGGTCAGATGATAGTTGCGAATCTTGTTTACATGGAAAAAATGCATAAGTCACCCTTTACTGGTTCCTGTGCTAGAGGTGAGGATTTGTTAGATCTCATACACGCAATGTGTGTGGGCCCTTCAGAACCGCCACAAGGGATGCTAACCGCTTCTATGTGACTTTTACTAATGATTATAGTAGATATGGCTATGTCTACTTAATCAAGCATAAGTCAGAAACCTTCGAAAGATTCAAAGAGTTTAAACAAGAAGTGGAGAATCAGTTTGGCAGGAAGATAAATATGCTCCAATCCGATCGAGGTGGTGAGTATCTTAGTATCGAGTTCCTTGACTATCTTAAGGAATGTGGAATTGTTTCACAATTGACACCTCCTAGGACACCACAGCTAAATGGTGTGGCCGAGAGGTGCAATCGAACCTTGTTAGACATGATACATTCTATGATGAGTCGAGCTTCGTTACCAATCTCATTCTGCGGGTATGCCTTAGAGACTGCCACCCATATCCTTAATCTAGTCCCTACCAAGAAGGTTGCCAAAACACCTCACGAGATGTGGAATGGGAAAATTCCCACTTTAGACCTCATTAAGATTTGGGTTTGCAAGACTTTTGTGAGGTGCGAGACTTACGACAAGCTGGAACCTCAAAGTGAGCGGTGTATTTTCATCGGCTACCCACAGAAATCCATTGGTTATCTCTTCTATAGATCGAGTGACAATGTTGTCTTCATGTCGAGGAGAGGAGTCTTTCATGAGAGAGAATTCATAAGCCAAGGAAACAGTGGACGAAACTCAAACACTAGCAATCAACTTGAGGAGGAAACTCCTGTTGAGCCTATTGATGAGTCCATACCTCTGAGGCGTTCCACAAGAGTTAGGAGCACACCTGATTTTTATGTTTTCCATATTACTATAGAAGGTGATGCATTTATCAGTGATAGTACACTCATAAATTTGGATGAACCTCACAACTTCAAGGAAGCCATGGCAGGCCCTGAGTCTGCCAAATGGAAAGAGGCTATGGACAACGAGATTCGGGTGCAAATGGATCTTCAAGAAGAAGACCGACATGGATGGGAAGGTACACACTTATAAGGCGCGACTGGTTGCGAAGGGCTTTACTCAAACTCCGGGAGTTGATTATGATGAGACCTTCTCACCAGTAGCGAAGATTAAGTCTATTAGGGTTATGCAAGCCATTCTGCATTTCATAATTAAGAAATATGGAAAATGGATGTCAAAACCGCTTTCCTTAATGGAAAGTTGGATGAGGATGTTTACATGAGTCAGCCAGAGGGTTTTGTTGATGCAAAGTACCCTAATAGAGTGTGTAA